CCCACCCCCCCGGGGAGGCTGCGCGGGCGGGGTGGGGGAGGGGCCACGAGAGAGGTGGGGGTACTAGGGGAGGTTGGTTTTGGAGGGGGATGTGGCCAGGGCAGCCCCAGAGACTGACGGGCTGTTTCTTCCATTCCCCCGAGCAGTTACCTCTCTGCCTCCTGTTCCCCCACCCCGGCTCCGGCGCCCGGAAATATGTCGGAGGGGGTGGATCTGATTGACATCTACGCTGACGAAGAGTTCAACCAGGTAAGCAGAACAGGACCCTGAGTGGAGCCCTGTTGGGAGTCTGGCAGCCAGGGGACGGGGGAGGAAGCCATGCTGAGCTCCACAGCAGGCAGGAAGGCAAGGGGGGGCTCTTCCACCAGCACAGAACCAAAGTTACAGGCCAGCATTTTCTCAGGTGTGAAGGTGGAAGTCTAGGAACAGTGTTAGTTTGCTGCAAGTCTTGACTGAGGATCTCCAGGAAGCCTCTTAGCGCAGGTTTTGCTCGTGGTGTTATGGCAGGGAGGGGGGCAACATTGAGAGGTGGTAGGAGGAAGAGGTTCATGATGCCCCTGTCCAAAGCATTTGCAGAGCCGGGGATGATTTGAGAATCAGATCATCCTGCTTTGCAGAACAGGAGGGAAACGACCTTTGGGTAAAGAGACAGGAAGCAAAAAGTAGGAGAAACGTGTATTGAGTAACCATAATATGCCTGTGTGGGTTGTAGGCATGTAAATACAGGACCTTCCTGGGCTGCCTTGGAGCAATCGGGATCCCTGAAACTTCACAGGTTGTTACCCACTTAGATACCTTTCAGTTAACTGGCTACGAGCAGAGAGGTGCCATACTATGGGAAAGTCTCCTCGTAAGCAGGTAGCTGAGAGTCTATCCTGGATTTATTAGCGGGTGTGTGAATAATGGGGGGAAATTTGAACAAGTGATGGAGAGTGGCAAAAAATGCAGGGAGGGAAGGAGGATAGCTGAACACAGCAGTGCAAGCATGTTGGAGTTCAAGGAAGCAGATTTTGGAGAGTTGAGCAGTCTGGACACATGGATGCAAACGTGGCTCTTTGAAGATAAAGATGCTATGTAAATACGAAATCAGGCTGGAAGAAGGAAGGTTGGAGGATCGGTTGTTGCAACAGATTGGGCTTGCTTTCAAAAAGCAAAACATGAGGAACATGAAGTTGCCAGTTTTGCCCTGAGGGTAATAAATTTTCTGTTCCAGAAAGGTGATGGGTTATCAAATGAGAACATGCTTTAGGGTTTTTTTGGGGAAATTAACAGCAGCAAAAAGCATGGTGACAAGGGGAATGTGAGAAGCTTTTCAACTGTCTGGGAAGAAACAGAAGTGCTCTCTGGATGAATTAAATGAGAACAAAATTAAGGCTGGTTATAAAAATTGCTAAAATACTGAACTTAAGCCATGTACCAGTAGTCTGGTTGCATCCCCACACAGAAATTGGTCTCAATGTAAAAAAAATTCTTCCTTGGATATATTTATAGGGCATTGCCTGCAGCACTGGAAACATCCCAGGATGTAGCAGATCCCCTGCAAGGCTCACTCGTTTTTATGCTTTAATGTGACAGAATGGCATTCTGTGTTGTGCCCACTAAACCATATCAGCTCAGAAATACTCTTAATTTGCATGTGTCCTTGCAGTTGGCTTTTAACAAACAAAATCAAGACAATGCACATGACAGTTAGGAAAGTATTAAACCTGTTGCAGGTATTATCAAAACATGGTATCATACAGATTTGGTTGGCAAACTTAGTGAGTCGTTGGGAATTTTTTTTGAAAGGCCACTGGAGAAATACCAACAAGCTGAAGGAAAATAAGCATGGTACTGATCAGGGAAGGAAAAAAAACATGACCTTGGCAGTTAAGTTTGGAAAGTCTGGCAGTTCCTAATTTTTAAAAAAGAGAATCTGTTTATCTCTCAGAAGATAGCAGAGATATGGACATTTGGCTTGCTGGGTTATAAAGGAAAAGTCATACCCCTCATGTTTAATAACAGCTATCATGGTCTTAAAACCTTCTTATGCTGTAATATTAACCCAGGTTAGCTTGACTGAGAATTTTCACATGGCTTCAAAAGTGGCTGGAAAGATATTAACCAGGAAAGGTAATAAAACGCAAGGTATTGAGTTGCAAGGGATGTGTCTCCTAGGATGCTGAAGGAATTGATGTTGGGTCTGATCTTGCTCAGCTCTTCCATAATTTTCCGCAACTAGACAGTGGCAGTAATCGCAGATCCTACCTCAAAAGGAAGGACAGAAATGCTGAAGCCCTGTGGGATTAAGTATAAGCAAAAGGTGAGAACTAGTGCTGAAAACACATCCCTAATAGATTGGTGGTTGTTCTCCAACAGGCAGTGTACAGAGTTGAGGAGTAGAGATGATCATTAAGTTACAAGAAGCAAGATTTGTTTGATAAATATATTTTACTGGGAGAGAGATTAGACAAGCTTTTGGGCACAAAATGACAAAAATAAATAGAAATGATAAGTGAATAAAAGAGGTTATCAGAAGAGGTTTCACACATCATGGCTGCAATAAAACTGCAATAACATGGCTACAATAACATTACGTTAAGTTCCATTTTCTGTAGCTTTTTGCATGACCAGGCTATAACACTTCATTTTCAGTGGGAGTAAGAAATTTGGAAAGCAGTTATGGTTTTGTGGGGTGAAAGTAGCTAATGACAGCGTAAGAAGGGGTCTGTTACCCATCAGCTGGATCCCTGTCCCTTGGCAGAACACCATTTTTGCTTTATGATTCCTGAAACATCTTAGAATGGCATCTAAATGCTCTACAGAAATTGTTCAAATGCAAAATAATTTCCATGTCACAAAGCGGATGGATTTGTGCATTTTTTATTTTAATATACACATCCTTTAGCCCATTAATCCTTGAATGATCAAAGTAACCTGTTGAGAAACTGTGGCATTTGTGTTGCAGAGGAGAACTGGCAAATAGGCAATGCAGAAAACATATTGTTGCCATGCATTGCAGGTTGGTGTGTGCTGTAAAGTGCTCTCTTTGTTCCTGTCAAGCAAGGTGCAAGTGGACTGCTCAGCATGTGGAAAGACTGGACTTTTCAAGGGGAAGAGGATACTGGAGTCATTACATCTCAGGGTGGCGGAGGGGGGAGATGGAAAATAAACCCAGGGAAGATCTTCATGACCAGAATCCAGGCTGCAGAATGGTTTCCATTTTAACCCCTTTTGTATTTGATTACTTCGTTGTTCTGAAATTCACCGTTCAAGATGAAATTTCCAGGCCTGGTCTTTCACCAAATGTGATTGGTGAGGTACCTGCTAAAAATGAGTGCCAAAATACTTTCCCAGTTAAAGTTTGGGTAAGGTTCTCTGCTCCATACTGCTGCAATGACCCAAGGATAGAAAATGGAAACTTGGTATAGAAGTGGCCCTCACCAGTGAGAAGGGGCTTGTGGAACCAAATACAGATTCCTTCTTGTCATGACCATTCAAAGGTTATGTTTTGTTTCTTTAGTACAAGGCTTACTGAGTGCTCTCCTGGATACACAGTTTCCTCATCTTCAAGAAAAGTATAGGCTGAAGTTCTCAAATGCCCAGAGTGTTTAAATATACTGTATGGAATTGCATGGAAGTTGTGTTAGTTTGTGGTCTGTCTGCAAATCTTAGCTGTAGGGTGCAACATGCAGCACTTACATTACTCCCTGAATGTCTTGATAGGTCCTCCAGAGATGGTGTGGAAGTTGTCTTCTCTCTAAGATGTCTGCAGAAGAGACAGAACTCTTGCTAGTAGAAGGCTAGCATTGGAGAGGCAGACACGGGATAATGAGCCAACTATGGCCTTTCAGAAGGCACCTGCCAAAGCATAGCTGTTCTGTGCAACCTTCATTGTGGCATTTCCTAATTTAATACTACGTGCTGTGGAACCTGGGCACTTCATTGTCTCCTGGAATTATATGTACCTTGCCGCTTTTTCTTATAGTTTTGGATCCGTTATACTTAGTTTGGGACAGGGACTGTCTTGTTCTTTAAACATTGGCTGGCACACAAGGGTCCTGGTTTATGCCTGAGGCTTCTAAATGTTATTGCAATACAAATGCTAGTGGAGCAATTTATAGTAATGGGTAATTCTCTGCATATGTTACATTCCAGGAAAGTCAGTCTGAAAAATACCCAGTAAACAGTACTCAACATACACCCCAGCTTAAATATAGCATTGGGTAGATTGGGAATTTGAAGGCAGATTTAGGTCAATCACATTTGCAGCTGAGGAGCTTCCTAGTTAACTGGCTCATCTCTAGAATTGGTCTGGGAAAGGTGTGGTGTGACACATCAAAGCCCAGGCTTTAGAGAAGACTATGTATCTAAGTCAGTGACAAGAAACTGGCCTGTATTGGCAACAGAAACAAGCTGACAGGATGCTGCACTTGCATATCTGATGCTGTAGGAAGAGAATTATTTGGCAAGGCCAGAGTTGGAGAATTAGCATACAATCCTGTGTTGTAACATACACATGAAAGAGGGCAGAGCTGATCTGGTGTGTCCTTCACTAACCCTTTGTGCCTTTATAAAGGTGGTTGTTCCCTACCTTAAAAATAACCACTTTTGTCCCTCCCTGTTTTCTGGGGAGAACTTTGAAGGTAGACCCATGAAATGATAGTGTTCTCACTTTTGGCATTAAATGGAACACAGCACTACATGGTTAATTGATATGAAGGGGGAAGAGCTTCAAGGGCAGGCAAAGGGTTAAGCACACACTGCCCTTTATATATCTGATTCTCTCTCTGTGTGTGGATGACATAAGCCAAGAAGCAGAGGCAGCTCTCTGGTAAGATGGTGGCTCTGTTCCTGGATGCTTGCTGTAATCCTGCTCTTATCACCGGGAGACTTTGATCCCCTTGCTTTACAAATTATGCTAATGCTTAGTTGTAGAGGCCTTAGGGTTTGACTTGGATGGAGAAGCACAGCACAGAGGTCAGCTGAACTCAGCACAAATGCAAATGAAAGGGATTTCTGTCATCTGGGAGGAGTAGCCAATTTTGTCTTGGATTCCATAGCCAGGGGAACATAGTAAGTGTGAGGTGCAGGCCATCTTCTCAGGGAAGCAGGGAAGCAAGGGATGTCAGTATAATCTTGTACTGTCTTTACAGAAGCGTCCCTTTTCAGGACAGAGGGGTGATGGTAGGGTGTTGTTTTAAATGCTTTGCTATGGGCACTTCATTATTGAAAAGAGAGCAATTTGTTGAGGGGGGACTTCAGAAGGCAGCTGGAGGGGCTGGCCTGTGTGGAAAGATTAAGAACCTGCAACTTGGAAAAGTGGTTAACAGAATGTCTACCTGCAAAGCTGTTCACAAGGATGTGGCACTAATTCATGTTACAAAAGCAGTTGCAATTGGGATGAGTAGAGTGGGATCTGAGCAGGAACATTTTAGACCAGATATCTAGAAAACAGTCCCCATGCACAAAGACCTTTATGAAAAACATGGTCCTCAAAGAGTTCCTGGAGATTCTTCAAATGAGACTGGACCCAGCCCTAGGAAAAATGTGCACGGGACATTCCTAGAGTAGTTCCTAAAAACAAACTAAGATATGTCTTATCCTGGACTTCCATGATCAATAGCTCAGACTGGGATCCACCAAATGGGTCAGATCCTTGCACAACTGAAATCATTGGCATTTATGTCATGCCCTCAGGATGCATTTCGTCCTTTGCCAAAGGAACTGGAGTCTCCACAGATCTCTTTCAGCTGACACCAGGCCTGTGGCCTGTACTGGATTTACACTTCTGCTTCCATTGCTACAGTGCAGGAACAAAGGTACGCTTGATGAATTAAGAAAATTCAAAGGACAATAGCACTTGTAGCAGTAGTAGCCAAGATGAAACAATAAAATAAGGCTTGAAAATGTAAGACAGAAGAGCATCTGGTGGGATCAGGGGGAGGTTATCTTGAAAACAGCATAGCCCATGAGTTTGGATCACCGAAGTTAAGCAGGCTAAGCCTCAGTAGAAGGCCTTAAAGTAAGCCAAGTGCTCAAGTACTGCAGTCGGGGACACGCTTTTCTAGATTCTGGATTCAGCAGTTACAGTGATGCGCTTGTGGGATCAGAAAAACAGGCCCTGGCAACTCATGGTTGTAGTTGCCTTATGTTTCAGAAGAGCGGGAGCATTAGCCATGATGCCTTGACCAAGTTCTGCTCTGCCTTTGGGAATTTCCCCTATCATTTTGTTTGGACACAGCATTCTTCAGTTCTGTCCTAAACTGCTGTCTTGTTCCTGACCCAGAATGAGTTGCATCTCCTTCCAGGCATTTACTGCTGAGCCTTGTGGAGCCACCCCTACAGGGGACCATTCAGTTCTGCCTCTGGCCGTGGCAGAGTCACTGCCTCTGGTCCAGCTGCAGAGGTGATGTGGGGATGGCTGGAGCCCAACTGGATTTACAAGCTGCTGTCAACGAACAAAAATCCTCTGCTGATTTGTAATCGAGTTCATTCATTATTTGAAGTGTGTAGAATGCTGTGATGTGCAAGGGGCTTGGCAAACATATCGGAAAACTAGGGTTGTCCCAAGTTGCTCAAATGACGGGGTCATAATGCGAAGTGGGGATGTGGAAGATGCTGAGAGCCCTGGCAGGATGTTGGAATGTCCTCCCCAGGGCCTAGTACTGTTCCCTCTCTTTGGCTTCAGAGGGAAGAGTTTCTCGTGAGGCTCAGTCTGGGAGGAGAAGAGAACAGCTCTTCCTGTGTCATGGTCAGCTGAGCGTTTAATTTGTATGACAGCAAATTAGAGCTGCATGGGCAGGGCAGCCCTCCAGTACGCTGGACCATCCCTGGCCGTGGGTGTGGCTGACTGTTGCTGAGCTGGCCCAATGGGTTCTTTTGTAGCTCCTGGAAGAGCTTACTGGTTTCTTGCATCTCCCAGGACTCAGAGTTCAGTAATGCCGACCAGATGGACCTCTATGACGACGTGCTAGCAGCAAGCTCGCAGCCACCTGAAACCCGTACCAGCAGCTCAGAGCCACCGGTGGAGATTCGTCAGGAGCAATCTCCCAAGCCCAACAACAAGGCACCTGCCATCCTCTACACCTACAGCGGGCTGCGTAACAAGCGAGCTGCTGTCTACGTAGGCAGCTTCTCCTGGGTGAGTTGGGGACACTGATCCCAGCATGGGGTGCCGGGCAGAGGGGGGACACTTCTAGAAGACTGCTTCCTGGGCTGCTGTCTTAGCTTTCAAGAAAAGCAGATCAAGCTTGGTGAGATGGAATTAAACTGAAACCCTAACCATGTGGGGCCTGACTAGAAATCACATCCAGCGTACTTAGTGCTTAGGATCTAGTCCAGGGGAAAAGCAAATAACATGTCTGATGGCCTTGCGTTGTTATAAGGTGTGTGACTTGGCCTCCTGTAGAGTAGGTACATGAGCCATTGACCTGTTCGAGGCTAAACATTCCTTGGTGGTGTTTCTAGCAGAAGGGCCAAGGATTGATAGTTCTAGACATTAAGCTGTGTCTGCTACCCACCCTGTCAGGTCCTTCTAGTTCAAGGTTGAGTCATGTTAGGTGGTGTCTGGAGAAGCGTTGCTTTGGTGGGCTGAGGCCCTCTATCTCTGGAGCTGTCCACATGGTACTTTTTCCCAGACCTTATCACTGTAGTTTACAGATGCTTTCCTAGTCTTTTGCAGCCTCACAGGCAGAAAGCTAGGGTGTTCATCTGTGTATCTCCTTTTCTCCCTTTGAGCACATGTGCGGTGTCTGAAGTGTTGCCCATATTGAAGGGCTTTTAAGACCGTCCTAGTAGAGCTTGAAGAGGGAGGGCCTCGACATGTTTGAATGATAAGGCTGATACCTGAATTGTGGACACAGACATCCCCCCTCTCCCTTGCTAATCAGGCCTTTTGTTCTGATTCTGTATTTTATTACCTATTCTCACTCAGTGGACAACTGACCAGCAGCTGATCCAGATTATCCGTTCAGTTGGAGTCTACGACGTGGTAGAGCTGAAATTTGCAGAAAATCGAGCCAATGGCCAATCCAAAGGGTGAGAACTGCAGTAGGAAGTCCAAGGGCCTTCCTCCCAATGGCTTGGTCCATAGAACAAGTACAGCAAGGGGAAACTGTGGGGCTTTTGCTAGCAATGATTTGTCCCTGGGATTGCAGGGTTTACCCTATCTACCCTGTTAGTTAGCCATGCACCATTTGTCAGGGTACTGCCTGCTGGTGTCTGGAGAGGCACCTGTGGGAGTTTAGCTGAGCTGGACAGGGCTAAGGAAGAGGTGGTAGCTGATGGGGATACAGGTGGCTGGTGCTCAGCATGTGATGGCCTGGATTCAGTTACTTCAGTTGTTAGCAAGGGATGAAGGTTGATGCTATTTGCTGCCTGAGCATGGCAGCAGGTGTAGACAGAACCCCTGCCCCCACTTCACACTGCTAAATGGATTGCCTCATAAATGGTGGGAGGGGCCTGACTCTGGGATGGGGATATCACACCACGGTTCAGTCAGGAATCTACTTTCATACTGTGGCTCTCCCCTCAGGTATGCAGAGGTGGTCGTCGCCTCTGAGAATTCAGTCCACAAGCTTCTGGAGCTGCTACCTGGCAAAATTCTCAATGGGGACAAGGTGGAGGTGAGGCTAGCCACCCGGCAGAACCTGTCGCAGTTTGAGGCGCAGGCACGGAAACGTAAGTTGAGGCAGGTGCGCCTCTGGGTGTGGGAGGGGGTGCTGGGTGTGCAAGGAAGGGAGACTCCCAGTGGGCCCTGGAGATCTTGAGCAGAGCTTAATCAGTCTAAACCAAACCCTTGGGGTGGGAGGGTGAATTCTCTGGAGTCTGAGTGTTTTTCCAATTGCTGCTGAGTCTGACCAGATCCTGACCCGAGTCTTTATGATCCCCTTTTAGGTGCTCATTCACTGCGAAGATCCCTCGTAGCCTCCTCCTCCTCCTCTCCAAACTGAATGGGCTTAAGCTCTTCAGCCTATCATCATAGCTAAGACCCTCCATATCTATTAGTAGCTCTTCTCTGGATCTTCTCCAGAATTTGTACATCCCTGCGGAGGTAAGGTGCCCAACACTGGATGCAGTGCTCCAGCTGGGGCCTCACCCTGGGCCTTGTACAATGGCCTTAGGTGGTCTCTCTTCTTCAGTCTGTATTGATCGGACAGCCCGGCCTAGTGCCAGGGGGTGCTGTGTAGCTGGAGGGATCATCTTTCCAAGGACACTTTTTTGATAAAAAGCTGACCACCTGTGGTCCTTGTAGATCTCATGGCACATTGCATAAGAGAGAAATTGTTACCCCCAAGTGCCTGGCCAAAATCTACTGGAGTAGTGATGTCCTGTCTTCATACTCCCTTTGCAGTTTTCTGCTGGATGCCAAAATCTCCATTGCCTGTCCTGAACTGTTAGTTAATGGCACTGTGCACTATCAGACCTCTGTTGTATTCCACTGTAGAGGTAGCTGCTTTTTGGTGGAGGGTGTTAGGTCCACTTATGTCCCTTACTTCATGTGGGTATTGTGAGGCCTTAAGTTTTGTCCGCACTGGGGACTGGCCTGACCTGTTACTGTGCTGATAAAAAACAGTATGGATGACCAATACTGTGTGCAGATGCAGCTTGTGCCTGCTTGAAACCAGGCTGAGCTGCTCCAATGATGGCAGTTCAGAGCAGTTTACCTTGCATATGCTTCAGCTGGGCATAACAGCTATTATAGGCCAGGTTTCTGGTGCAGACAAAGCCCTAATGACCCCCCAGCACTTTGATTTTGTGCTGGAAGGGGCTGAAGAAGGGAAAGTTTCTTTGATGCAGTGTAACCTCCTTTGTCTTGATCCTAAAGCGTCCTTAGACAGCTTAAAGTCCTCTTGGTTCCCTTAGCTACCCACTTCCTTGTCTGCTGCAGACCAAAGCCTTTGAGACCTTGTCAGTATCAGCATGTAGTTACTTCCCCTGAAGTCCTTGGTGGCCTTCAGAGTTTTGGCTCTCCAATGTGTCACCGTAAGTTGTCTCATCTGACAGTCCTGCCAGGCCTTTCCCCATCCACTCCCCTCAAGTACCACAGGCTCTCTACATCACTCCTGGTACTGGCAGGATTTCATTCTGCCATGCAGGCCCAAACCAGTGCTGGCATTAACCAACCAGTAAGAAAGCTCTGACTCACCCAGTGCCCTGGGATCTCTCTCTGCTGTGACCTGTTGCCATTTCTCATGGCTCTTAGCTTCTGCCTGTATAACCCATCTGCTTTGCAACTTCGGTACCCCATGTTACTATGGTCTGGGCCAGCCGGTCCAAGAACAAAGTGTCTGTGGGACACTGTGTTGGAAAATTGATTAATGTCTTGATGGAGAGTGTGACGCCTTTTTGAGGCCCTTGGAAGTGGAGGCTACGTTTGACTGGCTGGATCTTTCTCTCAGCACCTTGAGATATGCTGAAATCGGATGTGTGGCAATTGGGGGAGGAGGGCTCTGATGGAGAGTTGGGGAGGGAAGCAGGGGGATTGGCTTGGGGTTGAGGGGACAGGACTTCCTTCCCGTAGTCACTGAGTTGTTACATAGTCCCACCCTGCCCTACCCATTATGCAGGGTTCTGGGGAATACTGGGACATCTGCTTCCATGAGTTTGACTTTGAGGGCTGGGACTGCCCTGGTGCTTACAGCCTATCTCCCTTGTTTGTGCTGGCTGACAGGTGTGCCACCGAGGGCTCACTCCCGGGACTCTACCGATTCCATGGATGGCCGTGCCACCCCAACGGAGAATGCCATTCCGTCCACCCGCGTGGAGAAACCCCCTTCCATGTTGCCTTTCTTCAACCGCCCCCCTGCCCTCCTTCCCCTCATGGGCCTGCCACCCCCGCCCATCCCACCCCCTCCCCCGCTTTCCTCCAGTTTTGGAGTTCCACCTCCCCCACCTGGCATCCACTGCCAGCATCTCATGCCTCCGCCTCCTCGACTCCCCCCTCATTTGGCTGTGCCACCCCCTGGGGCTGTCCCTCCTGCCCTGCATCTCAACCCTGCCTTTTTCCCCCCACCAAATGCAACACTGGGCCCCCCACCTGATGCCTACGGCAAGGCTGTGGCACCGTATAACCACAGCAGGTAAGAGCACTTCAGGCCTGTACTGGGTGTGGTGAGGAGGGGCAAGGGCTTCACTATTCCATGCCTCAGACAAAAAAAACTAAAGTAGTTGTTCCAGTGGGGAGGGGTTCTCCTGGATTCCCAGCAGCACTTGAGGTCTTGCCCTCTATTAGCTGGTCATTGGCTTTCTCAACTACGTGGCAAGCACACTGGGTTTGAGGGGCTTTACCCCTGCACCACATCCCACCCCTGGCTTGATCAATAAGTGTGTGCTATCTTCTGTGCAGTCGGGAACTGGGCCATCCACCTCCCCCTGTGAGTGAAGCAGAGTTTGAGGAGATCATGAACAGGAACCGAGCGATTTCTAGCAGTGCCATTTCCAAAGCGGTGTCTGGAGCCAGTGCAGGTAACAGCTGTCAACTGCTTATCCCTCTGCCTACCTCCCTTGTCCCTGGATTGTGTTCTTGCTATGCCCCTGCTGTCCACATTTCTCTTAACCCTCTCTTCTGTGTTCCTGCAGGGGATTACAGCGATGCCATTGAGACTTTGCTCACAGCTCTTGCTGTCATCAAGCAATCCCGTGTAGCCAATGACGAGCGATGCCGCGTCCTCATCTCCTCCCTCAAAGATTGTCTCCATGGGATTGAAGCCAAGTCATATAGCACGGGTGCCAGTAGTAGCTCTTCCAGGTAAACCCTTGCTAGTGAAAGCCTGAAGTGAGAACCTTTAGGACTCACTTGACTGAGTGTTGGTCTGGTACAAAAGGGCTTTAAGGCCCTGTCTAGGAGGTGGGGGGAGGGAGCTAGCAGCACAACTCATCAGGAAGCTGTGTTCCTCTTGACATCCTCAAGGGAGGGGAAAGGGGGTCAACATCTGGCAAAGAAAACTTGTGAGAGACTAGTGGTCTGGCCTTTTCTTCCAGAAAAAGACATCGGTCTCGGGAGAGGTCACCCAGCCGGTCTCGCGAGAGCAGCAGGAGGCATCGGGACCTGCTCCATAATGAGGATCGGCATGAGGATTACTTCCAAGAAAGGAACCGGGAGCACGAGCGACATCGGGACAGGGACAGAGAAAGGGACCGGCACCACTGAGTTAGGTGAGCCCATCCTCCATCTGGCCCTCATGGGCTACAGGGCCACCCTCCCTTGGGTTCTATGGCAGTGCTTCTATATGTGCTGAGCAGCCTCCACTATGTCCAGTTCCTCCATCTTCTCCATCCAAGGCTATCATGACAGCCTCATCCTGGCAGTAACATAGTGAGGTATCCATCTTTGGTCCACTAGATCCCAAGCCTCTAATCATCATTCTTTCCCTGCAGTGTGCACCCAAGAGGGAAATAATTCTCAGGGGGAGAGAAAATGAGAATGGTCTCTTCTGATGGTCACTAAATATTCAGTACTACACTCCTTCACTGGTGTCTTCCATTGGAACTCCAGCCAGCTTTGGTGCTGCATGCTAACAGGCCCAGCTCACCTCCCTTGGAGTTTCACTCCATAGTTCCTTCTTGCATTTCTGTCTGTTCTACATGCTCTTTGCTGAAACAGTAAATGGCAGAGAGCTATTTCCCTGCTTTTTGCAGACTCTTCCTAGCATCAATCCAAATAGTGCAAGGATAGGGCTTTCCTCAGTCAGATCTTGCTTTCCTTGGTGAGAAATGCTGCGGGAATGAAATTCCCTGTCGGAACGGGCCTGCCTTTGGATGAGCCTCCAGCTCCTTGATAGTTCTCTTGCTGCTGCTTCTGTTTATCTGAGAAATGTGTGTCAGTCTGTACTGTTGAAGAATGACTTGGCTGGGGAGAGCTGGATTTGCCCTGTGATGTTGACTGGGCTTGGTGTAGAAGGAAGTCAGTGGTGTCAATAACTCCAGTGCCGAGGTCCTAGGGAATCTTATATTAAATTTTGGCTGCCATCGTACAACCATTTACTGCTCCTTTTGCTCTGTCGGGTCCATGCAAGCTGTGTGTCAAGATTTAGAGGAAGCTTTGACCCAAGCACCATCCCTGACTTTTAAAGTAAAGTGCCACATTTGCTGTAGGGAAGAACAATGGAGGGCACTCAGGATGGGTATGAGAGCCCAGCCCTGCCAGCCACATTACCAGGCAAGAGTTGTGCTTGTGGCTCTTTGAACCACATTTAAAGCCCTTAGACACAATCAAAAAAGTGCCCATCAGATACGCCTTGAAGGGAGGAGGTCAGATCCAGAAAAGTTATCAGATCCAAGGACCTTCACACTGCCCTACTTTTGAGCTGCTCACTTAAGAGAAAACGTGTCACTTAAAACAAGCTAATTCAGAAACTACAGAACCCCAGTCCAATACCCATTCATGACGTTCCATCAGAGCTCTCCTGTCCTGTCAGATCATGGTTCAGATCATGCTGGTATTTGGTGTCCACCCAGCCTCTGATTCTGTTGTTGAGCTGGATGGCTTTAAGGCTGCAGACTAGCCTCTGGTATCATATAAAGAAGTAAAGACTTTTTTGAGGAAGTCCCATCATGTAGAAGGTCTCTCCATTTTGGGCTTCAGCACACCACCTAGTCTGCCCCTGAGGTGAGGTGTGGGATGGCTTTATGTCCCTAAGAGTCTGTGTGGAAGAGTAAGCTTGGATTCTTTGTGCTGCTTTCCCTGTATTTCTTGACAATAGAGGTGGTCTTCTCTTGAAATGGTTAGTCTGGTGTTTGAGTACCCTCTCCTCCCAGGGCTGTGCTTGCAGTTTGAATTTGTTTCAGTATCACTTAAAGGCCTCAATATGGGGCCTAAATATGGCCCCTTTAAACTAAACCTTTGTTCTCCAAGAAAATCTGTATTCAACCTCTGTTTGCTTCTAGAGCAGAGGTGGGCAAAATATGGCCTGTGGGCTAGATCCAGCCCAATTGATTTTATCTGGCCTGCAGGCAGGCGGTGCAAGCAGCAACACTGCACAGCAGGCACTGGGCAAGCCGTGTTTGGGTCCCGGCTTCTGCTGGCGGACAGCATGGGCAGTGGCTCTGGCTCCAATCTCTGCTGGCATCATGGGGGATTCAGGGTGGGTGGAAGCAGCCCTGCCTGACCAGCACCAGGTGGCAGCCAGGGAGCTGGAGTTTGGCCCACCCAGGGCCTGTGGGGCTGGACTGTATCTCCCAAGTGCCATGGGAGACGCTGGGTGGAAGCAGCCCCACCTGCCTGCCTCACACTGCAGTGCCAACAGAGGTCAGGGCCTGAGCATAGCTCACCCAGGGCCTGCTGCACGGAGTAGGGCGGCCGGGGCTACTTCCGCCCAGCATCCCCTGTGGAACCCAAGTACAACTCATCCAACCTCTGCCTGCGAGGGATGGAACCAGGACATGGGCCTCCATACTGTCCTTTCCCGTGCTGCCATCAGGGATCCTGGGAGCTGCAGGGTTGGAGTGTGGGGGCATGTGTGTGCGTGCACAAGCATGTGTGTGCCAGGAGCCCTGATGGAAGGGCAGAACAGCATGGAGGCTCGTGACCAAGCTCTATCCCGACGGGCAGAGGCTGGACCCAGCTGGGAGTGGCCTCTCTGTGGCGCCCCCTAGGCTCTGCCAGCCAGCTCTGCATAGCTATACGGCACCTCTCCCCCACTGCCAGCAGGTGCCCGGGCCAATAAATGCAGGTAACTGCTGGGTGCCCTGATCAGTGCTGGGGAGCAGAGACCCCTGAGCTGCAGCCAGTGCCAAGGGAAGGGGCCCCACGTTCACTGGCTTGACCTGGCCAGGCTTGGCTGGCTGTGCGCTACAGTTGTGGATATGACTGGCAGGTGTCAGCTCCGAGCTCTAGGGTGAGTGGGTGGTGGGGAGCCAGGGTGTGTTACAGCCCCAGGTGGGCTCATGCTCCCTTCTGGTGCCAGCCCTGGCCTGACTGTGGGGAGCTTGTGCATGTGTGTATGTCCCTTAACAGCTTACCAAAACTGGTTAAGTGGCTCTCCAGCCCAAATAATTGCCCACCCCTGTTCTAGAGTGTCTGCATAGCCCAGGGAGACGCGCTGGTCTTGTGACTAAAGCAATGAAGGGAAATGAAAGTACTGGTCCTATTCCAAATGTTGTTGATTGCAGTGATCTTTGGCAAGTTGTTTTTTGCCTTGGTTTCCCACTGATCACTTGAGAATAGTATTTTCCTACCTCCTGAGGGCTTGGGGGCCTGGTCCGTTACACATGGAAGTCCTCTGATCTCCAAATGAAAAATGCTTTAGAATTGGCCACTATAGTCTGGTGTTGTTCACACTTTTGTATAAAGTACTTTCAGGAGAAGTCCTCCTTCAACAGCAGGGAAGATGGATGTAAACTGATTTTTCAATTGTATTTGGGTTATTCTTTAAAGAGATGTACATTCTCATTGCTTGATATAACCATTATAATGTAGATTTATGACTAGAGCAGGGGTGGGCAAAATATGGCCCACTTAGGAGCTTTAATCCAGCCTGCCGTAGGTCCCTTGGTCCTGCCTGGCCAAGGCACCCCCCAGCCGTGGCACGTCCTGCCGCCCCTTGGGCAGACAGCGGAGCTGGTGTGGCTTCATGACTGGATTGCCTTTTGAGGCAGCCCAGGCAGCGGTGGCTTCTTCTGACTGCCGCTGCTGCTGGCCCCAGCCCTGCAGTACCGGTGGGAACCCATATGCACAGCCCCAACCTGGCCCGTCCTGCACCTGCTCCAGACTTGCCTGTCCAGGCTGAGCAGCAGCAGCAGTGGTGGCTGCTGGGCCGAAACTTGCTCTTGCTCCACATGTGGGGAAAAGCGGACCCTCTTTGCGCTTGCCACTGCCTGGCCCTTCCTGATTCTGGAGCCTGCACTGTGCTAGGCAGCCCTGCATCTCTGCTGTCGTCACCACCACTTGGGCTGCCTTGTGGCTGCTCTGTACTGCCACCATTGCCCCTCTGGGTAGCCTGGAGGTGGTGGTGATGGCAGCAGAGACACAGGGCAGCCCAGCACAGCATGGGCTCCAAGCGGCTGCAACAGAAAGGTCTGGTAGTGGGGAGGGGGAGGGGCTGCTTTCCCCCATGCCAAGCAACAGTTCCTGCCGGGCACCTACCGCTGCTGCTGCTGTTCAGCCTGGATGGCCGAGTCTGGAGCAGGTGTGGGGCGGGCCAGGTCAAGGCTGTGCCTAGAAAGGCAGTCCAGCCATGGAGCCGTCCCAGCCCTGCTGTGGGCCCAGGGGGCAGCAGGATGCGCCACAGCCAGGTGGTGTGGAGCAAGCATAGGGTGGGCTGGGGCTACGTGCTGTTGGCGGTGCTGGGGAGGTGCCACAGGGTGCATAGGCTCCAGGTTAAGGGGCGGGTACTCACTGGCTTAGTGGGGTGCATGCGGGGGGGCTCCCATGCACACCCCACCACACCGTTCCCCACACAGTCACACACTCCACAAACACTGCACCCTCCCCACAAACCCCATACCTCCCACACACACACCTGTGTGCCTCTGTGGGTAGCCCTGCTCACTGCTACATGCGTACACATGCACCCACACACACACCTCCAGCCACCCTTTCCCTCCACACACCCCGCAACCCCCCACAAGCCCCATACCCACATATACCCCCGCACCCTCCCCCATACCCTACATACACACACATACATCCACACCCTGCACAAACCCCATACCCACCCACCCATACCCCCTACACCCCCTGCAATATACAACAGTAACACTTCATTTTGAGCAATTGTGGAATCACCTCTATATACATAACACAAATGCACACAAATCAGGACAAAAATATTAAAAAAAAATAAAATTAAAGTACGTTATTGTGGATGTTTGATTTTTAGTATATAAGTTGTTGTTTTTTTCCGGTTCCAAGATGGCAAATCCCCACTCTAAAAGGAGTACTTCTGGGGGGCAAAGGGAGGGACTTCTGGTGGCAAAGGTCAGGGTTTGGGGGCAGGATTTCCTGTCCCAAGATGGTGACCAGGGGGCGAGGTGCCTGTCAAGGGGCAGAGCCACCCTTGTGGCCTCAATAGCTCACCGAAACTCATTAAGTGGCCCTCCAGCTGAAATAATTGCCCACCCCAATATAGAGCCTTTAAGCCAGCAATTCCCAAACTATGGGTCATGACCCCTAATGGGGTCTCAACATCAACATGGGGCCACAGGGGGGAGGGGCAATGGGTTGTGAGTGAGGAGCCATGCTGAGGAAATGGGGCCATAAATGGAGTCATGCTGAGGAAAATTTTGGGAAGCACTGCTTTGAGCTATATTTCATAGATATTAGGGCAGGGGCGGGCAATTATTTTGGGCAGAGGGCCGCTTACTGAGTTTTGGCAAGCCATCGAGGGCCGCATGATAGGCAGCCGGGGCAGATAAATATTGATTTTTCTAAATTTTTTAGGGGCCCCGCAGGCTGGATAGAATGGCCTGGTGGGCCGCATTTTGCCCACCCCTGAATTAGGGGCTAGAAGGGACCTCGTGAGATTGAGTTCAGCCCCCCTGCCAGAGGCAGGAAGTCTGTGGGGACCTAATGATCCCAGCAAGATAAGCATCCAAATGCCTTTTGAATGAGTCCAGAGTAGGTGCTTGCATCGCCTCTGGGGGGAGTCTGTTCCAGACCATGGGCACTCGGACTGTGAAGAAGTTTTTCCTTATATCGAGTTTGAATTGGCCTTCTAGAAGTTTGTGGCTGTTACACCTAGTTATCTCTTGAGGAGCCTGGGTGAACAACTGTTCTCCCAGATCCTGGTGCACCCCCCTTATACATAGGCTGCTACAAAGCCTCCTCCCCCCGCCTTCTCTTTTCCAGGCTGAAGAGTCCCATGTATCTCAGCCTCTCCTCATAAGGCTTGCTCTCTTGGCCTTTGATCATGCGGGTGACTCTCCTCTGGACTCGCTCAAGCTTATCCACATCCCGCCTGAAGCGGGGGACCCAAAACTGGACGCAGTACTCCAGCTGCGGCCTCACTAAGGCCAAGTAAAGCAGGAAGATGACATCCCTGGTTTTGCTAGAGATGCATCGGTGGATGCATGCCAGAGTTTGGTTTGCTCTGCCGGCCACAGCATCACATTAGGGGCTTCTCTTTCAATACTTATTTGAGCATTGCATTGATTAATGTTCTTAGATCCATATTCATTTTACATTTAACTATGTTCAAAAATGGAGAGTAAGATATTGCATAGTTATTGGATAATTCACTTTTTGTTCACAATTTGGGACAGGTAGCTTCATTGCGGGGGCGGGACTGGGTACAGTATGCAAAAACATGTTTTATTTAAATAAAACAACTTCACATGTTTTGGATGCATACAAATCTCTTATCAAAACATACTTTACATTTGCAACCAAATCAGTTATGGAATAATGATTAGCTGTAATTATTTCAGGTGAGCCTGAAAGAATTTTCAGATATGTCTAAGTGAACATGACTGAAATTTTAAGTTAATACTCATTTAGAGTCTCTTGAACATAAGTCTCTCAAGTACTTGGGCTTTTCTTCACACTTTTAAAACTAGTAGGTCTTATCCTCTCCCATAGTGTTTTATTCAAGCTGAATTTCCGTAAGCCATGGATTCAGCGTGTGTGTGTGTGTGTGTGTGTGTGTGAAATGTTTTTTTCATTGAATTCTGATCTCATTTAAACAGGCTTGCTTTAAATAGAAAATCTTGTAATTTTGAATAACAAAATAAGAAAAAAACCTGACTTTGATCCTTTAAAAAAAAAAAAAAAGACTGGCTTCTATCACTCCTATCATGAAGCTCATAGTGTTTATTCCAGACCAGTCTAGAACATGCTACAGTTATTGCGTACTTCAATGAAAAGGATTCCCAATTACTGTGCCAGTACAAATTCTCTTGGGCTGTCTCTGACCTTCTGACTGTCTTCCCCATATGAGTTGGGTCTCATGCACCATGGCAAACATCAACGTCCTTGCTGGTATCCTAAGATGACTGACCATGAAGAGGGGAGAATGGTGAGCAGGGAGAAACTGGCCTTCATGAACTCTCCCTGCGGATGGAGGACTTCTCTCTAAGGCTGCTGATCCTGCACCTTAATTTTGCCAGCACCAAATTTGCATGAAGATGAAAGTTTTAGAACAGCCACCTAGTTTTTGGAGGAGTCTGGTGTGTGGGAGTAGGACAGGAAGGGGCTCTTTGTCTGCCATTTAAGAAACATGCTTGGGGCCAGATTTGCTATACAGACCCCATTTATTTCATTTGATACATGAGTTTATGGGTACTGTAGTAGTGAAAGACTCTAACCCGTTTGTCTTGTTTTGTCCCTTGCAGGAGTTTGGTTGGAAAGTAAATGTTTTTTTTTTTTTAATGGACTTGTATCTCCTCACCTCGATCAGGACTAAAGGATGGAGGCTGCTCCACCCCCACCCCCTCCCTCCCTCCTCCCCGCTGTCCCCAGCTCCCTCCAGGCACCCAAGGAAAGACATGCTACCTGTTGGACTCTAGCCAGCACACCGTGGCCTTGGGACTCATGCTCTGCTTGTGCTTGTTGCTGCTGCTTCCTGGGGAAATGCTGGAAGACATGGAGTTGGGAAGGGATTGCGTCAGGCCACTGTGACCAGGGACTGCTCCAATCCATGGATACTCGGACCCAAAGAGAAATGGTGCTTTTCCATGGAAGCTTGCGAGCTCTTTCCTCTCTGTGGCCTTCTAGGGGGTATCTGGAAGGGAACCAACCCCCCGCCCCCCTTGTGTGCACTGAGGAAGGTTGGAGGTGCATGTACTGCAGCCCAGTGTTTGATAGGCTGGACTCACTGGGACCCTGTATCCAAGTCCTTCCACAGTGCACTGTCTTCATGCCGTGTTTGGGGAGGCCCCCTAAGAAGCATGAGCCTTGATCCCAAGCAGTTTCAGTCCTGTTCTCTAGCCCATTGTACACAGCTTAGATGGCAGTATATCCCCTGTCTTTGATATAGGGCAGTCTGGCTGTTGCTTCCCATCTGCTCTCTGTGCTCCACCTTTTGGTTCCTGAAGGCTTTTCCAAGTCCTCTCCTCCAGGCAAGTTTGCCTAAAACAGAGAAAAACTCTTGTGGAAAAGAGCCTCTTCCTGTCAGGGCCTGGAGGTGGCCTCCTTACTGGACTCAGCATTATTGGCTCTCCATCTCTGTGCTTAAGCAATAACAGCTCCGCTTCACATTTTTTTGAATGGAAGTGCTGGCCTCCTCCCCGAAAGAGCTCTTTCCTTGTTTTAGAGGAAGCACCTTGCGTAGAGACCTGAAGATTGCAATGTCGGTGGATGGAGGAGGGACAGAATTGGGCGCTGGCTGGAGAAGCTGGACTGCTGATAATCACGAGGGCTTTTTATCATTTCTACATGACATTAGGTTGAGCAGATTCTTTAGGGACAGACAGTTCCCCTCCCCAGCATCAACCACTGAGTTTTCTGGCCTCCTTTTAAGAAATGCTGTAGGAGTGGGAACTTCCTCTCAAGCACTATGCCTGAGTCTTCTTTAGGCAGTACTGCTGCTTCTTTGCTGTTGGTCTGCAATGCCCAGTCTTGGATGAAGGATGTGGAGCAGCCTGGCCAAGGGAGCCTCAGTGCCAGTTTCAAAACACGGGGCTTGAAACAGCCAAGCGGTCCCAGTGGCGTGATGCCTGAAGGAGCGGGGAAATGTAACCACCATTTCCATCGTGGCTTGGTGTCTCGACTGGCAGGTTTGGAAGGCCAATGGGATATGAGGCTTAACAGCGACCTGTTTCCTTGAACAAAGGCCCAAGTAGCCAGAGAGCAGCCTACGGTTGTAAAACGACTTGCCACTATGCTGATCTGAGGAGGTGCCAGTAGAAACTATGTATCCCAGCATGCTGTTCTTCAGTAACCTGAGGGAGGCTGAACCCCATGGATAAAGGGTGCATGCTGGGAGCTGTAGTCTCCAGCAGCTGCACCACTCTGAGATTATGACAGCAGCCATCTACAGCACGTGACAGCTCCTGGCACACTGATAGCCTTCACATGGGCAAAGCTTGGCTGTTCCCCTGCTGGAGAAGGGAGAGAGGGTAACTTCCAGCAGAGGGTGCACAGCCCATCTTGGGGGGCTTGTCTGTAGAGTAGTACCTCCTTAGGAACTGGACTTGTGTGGGGAACCCAGTTTCTGGATGTCTTTTTACAAACAAAAAGCATATGTAAACTAAACTGAGGTGACAGCTTAAAAGTGTAAAATATTGGGGTTGGGGGGGAACAATTAACAAGGAAGGACTCCTGGTTTGG